CCCCCCCCCTCCCCGCCCCATGCTTATTTAGCCCATTTCCCCTGTGGAGTTGTCCAGAGCTCTTTGCAGAGAACGGCTTCCTGGGGCTGATTACCTTAGGCCCAAACAATGGAGCTGGTGAACTGGAGCCAGGAAGAGAGGTGGTGGCTTCCCCCTGCCGACAGCTTATCCTGTTATTTCTCCACCTGATGAGAACCTGTCATAAACATCGCTTAAACCAGAAGAAACAGGACTAAGAGGGGATGCTATGATGCAAGGTGGAGTGGACAGAACATGAAAAAGTAGGATTTCCAAATTAATAAGGAGAAAAGGAGTAATAAGTAGCATCTTCTCTTGTAATTGAAGTCTAGTCAGTTTACCGTGTTGTGTCAATTTCTGGTGTGCAGCATAATATTTCTGTCATCCATATACATACATGTGCTCGTTTTCATATTCTTTTCCATGCAAAAAGCATCTCGATCAAACCTGCCCATAAAAAGAGGAGGCGATTATATCAAAAGCTTAATAAAGTGAGATGGAAGGAATCAAATCAAATGTATCATTTGTTTAAAGAAATGCACATACTGCATATGAGTAATGTTATGAGTAGGTTCTAGTTCTGTTTTCACATTTATTACAAAGCCTAATTGCAGCCTTAAATGGGAGATCCTGCCCTGACTCAGGCCTGCAGTAGACATGGAAACTAGTTGGGCTTGGTCTGAGAAGGTATCTCGGAGGAGATGAATATTTAAGGAAAGTTTAAAGATGGAGAGGGAGGGGATGACGATGAGTCAGTTTCCAGCCCTGACTATCCCTTCATCCCAGTGCTCACAAGTGAGTTTTCTTTGGTTCTCAGGCAGATCTGGAGGAAGAAAGAATACGGCAGAAAATAGCAGAAAGGACCTCAGAAGAAACGATACGGATTTATTCTTTGCGGCTGGTTTTGAACTGCATTGTGCTGGCCGTTTTAGCGGCGTGCTTTTATGCAATCTATAGAGCAACTATATTCTCACAAGAACACATGAAAAAAGTAAGCGCTCCGTGAAGGTCAATTTAACTTTCACTCCGGTTGGACTTTATGTATGCTAAGTGTATTGCAAACCTCTGAGACAAGATACTGTCATCATTCTGTTTTACATATGGGGATATAAGTTTGGCTGATAGGACAGAGAACTTAAAATCAGAGTGACTAATTTCCACCTTTAGTAGAAAAAAAACCCATCTAAAATAGAGTGTTTGGGATACCAACTCCTCCTGGAATTGACAACATTGAAATCCAGGCTGGAATGCCTGGATTTAATCCGCAACTGCACTGCTTACTAGCTGGGGCCTTGGCTTACCTGAAATAACAGTGGTTTTAAAAATTCAAGTGGCTCTGCTTTGTGAAATCACTCATCAGGGGCCCAGGTTCCTTCCATCTTGTAGCTCTGCCATCCCTAGGACGTGGCCGCCTTCTGTATGGTACAGGATAGCTCACTATGTTCACATTGTATCCAGTGGGAAGGAGGTGGGGAGGGCACACCCCTTCCTTCAAGGGCATGACTTGGAGGTTGCACTTAAAACTTCCTCTTGCATCCCTTTGGCCAGAATTTAGTCAGACGGCTGTACCTAGCTACAAGGGAGGCCAGGAAAATTTAGTTTTACACCAGATGTATATGATGTGACTAAATAGTCTATTATTATGAAAGAAGGAAAGAATGGCTGTTCCAAGTCAATTAGTGCTACAGCCTTGAAAATGCTTTAAATTGCCTATTAATACAGAATGCATGGATTTTTTATACTTCCCTGTAATAAATACAGCTCATTTTTCTTCCAGTGTGGTACTAGATCGTGGTTCCTCTGTTTGAACACCCAAGGAAGGAGATGGCTTATTTTTATGCACCATGTTGAATGAAGTGCTTTGTTTGCTTTAAATATATATATAGTTCTTTTTTCCCCTTCTAGTTTTATTGAGGTATAATTGACATACAATATTGTATAAGTGTCAAGTGTCCAGCATAATGACTTGACATATGTATAGTAGAGTTCTTTTTTTTAACATTTTTTTATTGATTTATAATCATTTTACAATGTTGTGTCAAATTCCAGTGTTCAGCACAATTTTTCAGTCATTCATGGACATATACACACTCATTGTCACATTTTTTTCTCTGTGATTTATCATAAAGTAGAGTTCTTTTTAAAAAATTTTTAATGTAATTTTATTTATTTGGGAGGGGGATAATTAGATTTTTATTTATTTATTGATGGAGGTGCTGAGGATTGAACCCAGGACCTTGCACATGCTAGGCATGCGCTCTACCACTGAGCTGTACCCTCCCCGGTATATAATTGAGTTTGTTGTTTTTTAGGAGGGTAGGTAAGTAGGTTCTTTAATTCATTTATCTTTTTTAATGGAGGTACTGGGGATCAAACCCAGGACTTTGTGCATGCTAGGCAGGCACTCTACCACTGAGCTACACCTTCCCCCTCATAATTGAGTTCTTTAAAGGTCACTTCATTTGTGATGCAACTTACTATACTCCTGACCGGTTTTGTTACTTTTCTAGGAAATTGACAAGATGGTTTTTGGAGAGAACCTCTTGATACTGTACCTGCCTTCTATTGTGATCACGCTGGCCAATTTTATCACCCCAATGATCTTTGCCAAGATTATCCACTATGAGGATTATTCTCCAGGATTTGAGATCCGCCTGACAATCCTTAGGTAATGCCTAGACTTGCCAAGCAGGTCACGACTTGACCCCTCCCCTGCCTGTGGCAGACATCACTAATGAATTGTGGCACCTTTTCCTGCTGAGCCAAGAATCCTCTTCAGCCTCCAGGCAGCCTCCATGAATGAATCAGAGTTTGCTCATGCAATGAGCTCTCTTTGACTTGAGTGTCCACTCAGCAGTGGTATATTTTTGGTTCCTGTATTAGCACATTGACAGCTCAGGGTGTAGGGTGGAGCCCGTGAAGGAGGTGTTTCTCTGAAGATGTTAGAAAGGACAAGTTTATACCAGCAGGGAACTGAGGAAGTGAGAGAGAGAAGGGAAGGCAGCTGGAAAACGGCATGTTATCTGGGGCCCAGTTGCAACTGGGGCTCAGTCCTATGGGACAACTCTGAGAGTTGCGTGGAAAATATCTTAGAATTTTCCTACTCAGTAGAGTGTTTGTCCTCCAACAAGGTATTCATCTGCCACTGCCTAAGGGTGGCTTCACCCCACCACATCCACCCCACTACCTCCACGTGTGGGCCGTGGGAGGAGAGTTCCAGTGGGGACTTGCGGTAGGAACCTGAGGCTTTGGCTCAGGTGAGTGCCGAGGAAATGTGGCCCAGTCCCTGACCGTGTGCTGCAGGTGACTTTGTACAGTTTGTTCTCATACTAAATAAATACTCAGTTTTCATAAAAATAAAAAATAAAGAAATGACAGATGTAAAGCCGGGCCTGGGGAGTAATACACGTGAGTTAAGGAGGACCAGGTGGGGACTGTGTGAAACTAGAGTGGTTTCTTTCTGCTGCTCAGATGCCTCAGATGGCATTTGAATCTTTTTTTTTAAATCTTTTTATTTTGGAAATTTTCGGACAGGACGATCTGCTAAACCCCTATGTGTGCCCATCATTTAGTTTCAACTATTTACCAGCATTTTGTTAGTCTTGGCTTCTATGTGTTTCCCCCACCCTGCTGGATTATTTCAAATTTCAGGCCATGTGTCATTTCACCTGTAAACACAAGTATATCTCTAAGTGACAAGGAATTTTTTTTTTAACTCAAGTTACAGGGGATTGAACCCAGGAATTTGTGCATGCTTAGCACATGCTCGTACCACTGAGCTTTCTCTTTCCTTCCAAGAGCTTTTTTTTTTTTAATCATAACCATTATCACACCTCATCAAATTAAGTCAGTCTCCCCTGATGGAGTTGCAGAATGCTTTCTACAATTGGCTTGTTCAAACCAGGATTCAAACAGAGGCCACATGCTGTGTTGAATTATGTCTCTTAAATCTCTTATTCTTTTAAGAATCCCCACACTCCCTTGTGTTATGCCAGTGACTTGTGGGAGAAATCTGAGGCATTTGACTCATAGAATGTTCTCTATTTTGCGTTCAGTTCATTGTCTTTTCATGGTGTCTTTTGTTTTTCTGTGCCCCCTTGTCACCATAAACGACTGTAGATTCAGACTTTGTATTAGATTCTGCTTCAGTTTTTGGTTGTGGGAAGCCCCCTGGTGGTGCTGGGTACTCGCACACATCAGGAGGCACAGATGTCAGGAACCTGCTGAGTAGTGAGGAATGAGTGGATGGTGTGGGTTTGCTCCCCCACCACCCACACACTTTTTAATGTTTCTATTTCATTTTTTGTTTACAAACCAAACAGCAGGAAAAACATCTTTAAGAAAAAAAATTAGCACCTTCTCTGCAATCTGTTTTCTCCCTCAGCCCTCACCTGCACGGTTCCTGTTGTTCGAGCCAATTTTCATGCATTTTGTTTTCTTGTAAAAGTAGGAGTGTATCTACCTGAAACTCTGCAATGTATTTTTTTTCACTTTTCAGTATATACCAGACATCTCTTAAAGCTGATACTTGGAAGATTCAGTTCTTTCCAGGAATATATAGGTTCTGAGTGTACTTATATCATCATGGGTTCAGGAGTTCCCAGCTTTCTGATCTGTTTTTTTCTTTTCTCTCTGCCATTTAAAAAAATTTGCAGTAAATATATATATATAAGTATATATATATATATATATATATAAACATGAAATTTACCATCTTAGCCACTTTTAAGTGTACAATCAGTGGCATTAGTACATCCTCATTGCTGTGCCACCATCACCACCGTCCATTTCCAGAACTTCCTCATCACCCCAACAGAAACTCTGTGCCCACTTATGGGCTTGCTGTTAAGAAAGGCAGCATGTCTGGGCCCCAGCCCCACTCCAAGGGGCCAGCCCGTCCTGAACCCTCCTCTTCTCACCCTCCCTTCTCTATCTTTCCTGCAGGTGTGTCTTTATGCGGCTGGCCACCATCTGTGTGCTGGTGTTCACCCTGGGCTCCAAGATTACATCCTGTGACAACTACTCGTGTGAGCTCTGTGGCTACAACCAGAAACTCTACCCGGTGAGGCTGCGGGGATAAAAGCATCTTGCTAGGTGGGTCATTTTGGGGTAATGGCATCAAGGTCGAGAGAATAGCCCTTGCAGCCAAGGGTTTGAATCCCACTAGTCCGCTTTCTTGCTGTGTGGCAGAGTCTGGCACACCAGGCACTTCTAAGGGCTTGAAAACCAACATCTGTGCTGGGGCTCAGAGGCATGTTGGCTGATGGCCTCCAGGGGCAGCAGGATTTGGGGCTGGAAAGGGCATTGGGAAAACCTGGCTTTCTCTCCTCCAAGTCAGGCTCATTTCTCTCTGTGGTTTCAGTGCTGGGAGACCCAAGTTGGGCAGGAAATGTACAAGCTGATGATCTTTGACCTCATCATCATCTTGGCTGTGACACTTTTTGTGGATTTTCCTAGAAAGTAAGTGTGAGGGGTACCCCCCATCCTGATCACCCCTTCCTCATCCCCACCACAGGCTCCCATCACAGCTGCTCTTTGCAAAGTGCTGGATGATTCCACCCTCCCCGGAAACCTCTGACAACCATTGGTGACCTTCAGACAGGTCCAGGTCATCACTGCCTAGTCCATATGTGCCCCATTGAAAGGCAGCGTGAAGAGCAGAAATGGTGCTGCTTTCCATGAGGCTCGTGTTGGGTGACTTCTTGCCCTTAGCACAGCCACGGGCCCTGTGAGTGGAGACCCTCCAGGCTGCAGCGGACACCACATTTTCCGATCTGGGTTCAAGTCCCAGCATTGCCACTTCCTAGTCATGTGGCCCTGGGCAAGTCAGTTAGGCTCTGTGCCTCTTTCCCAACCTGTGAAATGGGATAGTAGCAGTGCCCACCTCATAGTACTGTCGTGAGGATTAAATGACAAAATGCAGATAAAAGTACTAAGAACAATTCATGCCACAGAAATCTCACCGTCATGATTAGCATTAACTGTCTCCATCATGATTATCATTATTATGCTGTTGTTTAAAAAAAATTTTTTTCTCAGCATCTCCTTGAGCCTTAAGTAAATTTCTGTTCATTTAATCACTTTTTTACCCACATGTACAAATTCTCTAGGCATATGCCAGAGGTCCAGAAAGCCCTTAAAAGTAAATATTAAAAAAACTATCCTTTTTAAAAATTACTGACATGAATGTGTGCATGTTGAAATTTTTTTAAATATATTTAGAATTTAAATAAATATAGAATTCTGGAGAATAGTAAGTTCTATTTTGTATCTTATCCCTAATTCCCTAGTCCCAGCGCACTCCTTACAGGTGGCCACCGATAACGCTTTGGGTTAGATCCAGCAACCCTTACAAATAAAAACACATACTTGCATAAATACATGTATAAGTAAACACAGTCTCACTGGAAATGTCCTTTTTTCCCTCGTAAGTGGGATCACAGTACATCCACACTGGTCTGCAGCTTGCTTTTTTTCCCCCTTACAAACAAAATACCATGAACAACTTTCCATGTCAGACACATGGATTTTCCTCAATCACTTTTAAGGACTGTATAATATTCTACTGTATCCAGGCTTATCCTCTGTCTATGCATCCCCTCCTGATGGGCATTTGGGTTGTTTTCAGTAATGTTGCTAATATGTGGCGATGCTACAGTCAACAACTGTGTGTTTATCTCAGGCCTCTGGTCCTAGGGTTTCTGTAGGAAGCTTTAGGATTCCGGGAAGTGGCTTGCAGGGTGGTAGGGTCCTCATAAGCCCCTTTCTGTGTGGATGCACAATAGCACAATACTTTTTGGATTGAGTGGCAAGCCAGTGCACAGAGGCTGCCCGCATCATTATTGTCACCCAACGCGATGAAGTAGGTTGTGTTATAATCCCCTTGCATTCCAGATGAGAAAAACGACCCTTGTCTAACTTTATTTGTCTGGGAAACTGTAGATCTGAGACTCTGGTCTTAATGATTCCAGAGTTCACTATATTCTGCATCTTATAGACATATGACTGACTATTTTCCATGAGAAGAATGTATGGAAGTGGCCCTGACTTTGTGGATGTGGCTCTGTGGCCTTGGCGGACACTGGTAGCCCAGGTGAGAAATTGTCCCGTTTGTTTCCAGGATCCTGGTGACCTACTGCTCCTCTTGGAAGCTGTTTCAGTGCTGGGGACAGCAGGAGTTTGCCATTCCTGATAACGTTCTGGGAATCGTTTACGGGCAAACCATTTGCTGGATTGGAGCTTTTTTCTCACCCCTTCTTCCTGCGATTGCAACCTTGAAGTTCATTATCATCTTTTACGTGAAAGAGGTAAGGAGAGATGGGGATGAGGGGTTGATAACCCAGACCATCCTTGATCTTGCAGGGTAACTGGCGCACATACGCTTGGAGCCCACCCACATCCTATCAGGTGTATGAAAACTGCATCCCTTATTTGACGTATATTTTTATTCTAGAAAAAAGACTTTGAATGGATTTTCACGTTTGTCATTTTGAGAGTTTTGTTAAGAATTGTTTTGCTCCTCTGATTTAAATGTTTGTATACATAACTGTCTAAGAGTTGAGTTGTAGTTGATCAATCAGTTGACAGTGATTCATTTTGGTGATGTTTAACAAAAGGTTTATTAATTAAAATTTTGTAATTTTCTGTTTGGATTTTGGAGCTGGTGACTTTGTTTTCAAGTTTCAAGTATTTGTGTAGCTTCTCAAACAGCTCCCAGGCCCTAGGAGTGGCACCTGAACTAAATGCTTCGTGGGTGAAGTAGCCCTGCAGGTGCCTAAGTTATCTGGGCTTATTAACTGACCTTCTTTTTTCTTTATTATAAAGGCACTATTTGCCCACTATTAAACTTTTAAACAATACATAGAGGTATTCCATCCCTTCTTGCAGAAGTACCTCTGTTAATAAGCCCAACAATATTTTTTCCCAGCGGTTATTGATCACCTATTACGCCAAGCCCTGAGGATTCTGAAATGGAAGTAATAATAGTATTAGTAATCATAACAATAATAATAACAGATGATAACAACACTGTGTGCCCCCACACTATGAACAGTTTACATGGATTATCATGTAATGTTTACACCCTTTGAAGTAGGTACTGTTATTAACCATATTTTATAAACTAGGAAGCTGAAGTTCAGAGAGGTTAAGTAACTGGTCCAAGGTCACACAGCTTATAAATGACTCCTGGGATTTGAACCCAGGTTTACCTCACTCCAGAGCCTAAGCTCTAAACCCAGTAAGCAGGCCTTGAATTGGGTGATACTTTGTACCTGGATGTTTTGGCCTTTGAAGAATGTTCCGATGCTTTTGTTGGAAACTTGAGTTGGCTGAAGTCACCAAAGGACAGATGGAGGCGAGAAAGCTCATAGAAAGGTTTTCTTTTTCCAGAAAATACTGGTTAGACAGTGGTCTCCCAATGTGCAGCATAGTAAGGACAGTGTGGGGGTAATGGAATGGGTCGCCGGCACTGGACTGAGTTCTGACACCCCAGACCTGACTGGCCAGCTGCCCGCAGACACCAAGACAAGACATCAAGTGTCCCTGGTACTCATTGCCCTCCAGCTCACAAGATGTTCTGGCTGCTGCAGAAGTCACACAAGCTTGATGCCCCTTCCCAGTGATGCAGCTTTCTAGAATATTCAGGAGAAACTGTATGCCTGTCACCATACCGCTCTCCCCTCCCCACTTGATATTTCCTTTAAGTCTTTTTTCCCTCAATGGAAATATTTACATGGAGGGAGGATATAATTCAGTGGTAAAGCGCATGCTTAGCATGCAAGAGATCCTGGGTTCAATCCCCAGTACCTCCATTAAATAAATAAATAAACTTAATTACCCTCTTCAAAAAAGCAAAACAAACAGACAACCTTTGAAAGAAAATAAAATGGAAATATTTTTAATATATAGGAAAAATACATATGCTTGTAAAAATTCAAAGTAGCTCCCATTTTGGTGTATGCAAGACAGCTCACAGGAACTTTTTCTTTGCACATTTAATACATATTGAACCTGTATAGAGAATAAATACTTTTCACATCCTTTCACATCATCCCACTGTACACTCTAAATGTCTTACAGTTTTGCCAACTATACCTCAATAAAGCTGGAAAAAAAAAGAAATGTACAGTAAAATATTTAAAAAGTACTTCCAAAAAACCTTCAATGAGGTCATACAGTACAGAGCTTTGAAAAGCTACCCTTTTCATTTTACAGAGCCGTGGAGGAGGTAAAGCTCTCTCATTTTTCCTGAGGGCTCCGTGGTTCCACTGTATGGATGCTCTTTAA